CAGCCCTGCAGGCTTTGCACGCTATGCTCTACAAGCAGCCCCCTTTTTTGTGCATTTTTAGAGAAAGCTAAAAGCAGCACATGCTTGACCTAGAACCACAGTGTCATGTCTGTTAATAATGTTTTTCTGCTTGGAGTTTGACTAGAAGTAATTTATATTCAGTGAAATGCATGCATCTCAAGTGTACCATATGACTGTTGGTAAATATATGTATTTGTGAAACCCTCGCCAAGATATAGAATATTTGTACTCACCTGAGCTGAGAAAGTTCTCTCATGACTCTAGATTATGCTAATACCAATACCTGATTTTTCCCTTTCCATTTAACAATTTTGCCTAGAATTTTATATAAATTATGCATGCTTTTTGGGTAGAGTTTCTTCTTTTTTTTTTTTTAAAGATGCATACAAGTATGCTTTAGTAGTTTGTTCCTTTTTGTTATTGAATATCATTCCAATGCATGGATGTATTTGTTTATGCTTTCTCATATTGATGGACATCTGGGCTGTTACAATTTTGGACAAACGAATATTGCTGGTGTGAAATTCTTGTATATGTCTACTTACAGAAATATTTTTGTTTCTGTTGTCTAATGCTCTGTCAGGAAGAAGGCAATTCTTGAACTTTCAAAGAAAATTCTGACGTTTTTCCAAAATATTCTCTCCAACTTCTACCAGTCACTATTCTAATTTGATGTAAACTTTCTGAAACCGTTGTCAAAGAGACAGAACATGTGTTGTTTTGTTTTATTTCTTTCTGAATAATGATCTTTAAGTCCATCCATTTTGTTGCAAATGTCAGGATTTGGTATCTCCAGTTTAATGATTTTGCTGACTCTTTGTTCTTTCCCTTTGCAAGCAGGTGCTTTCTGCAGTGGTAACACTTCTTTTTGTCTTCTGTGTGTATACTATAGGTTTTTACTGTGTGGTTATTTAAAGCTCCATAAAGCATCCTCTATTTGTATCAGGCTGTTTTAAGCTTCTGACAACTTAACTTTTATCATATATAATAACTATATCATTTTATTCTACCTCACATATTTTATGTTTTTGATGTCACAGTTTGTATATTTTATATTTTATCTTTTCAGAGTTATTGTAGCAGTTATATATTAATAGTCTCGTGTTTTAACCCTCACAATAAGGATAAATATATACCACCATCACAGTACTAAGTGTTTTAAGTGGACCTTATTTACCCTGCCAGGGAGTTTTACATTTCATGTTTTAATTTTTGATAACGTATAGTTGAATTTTACCTTTTCCCAATCTGATAGGTAATGTTTTTAGACAATTCATATCTAGTTTGTCAGTGTACTTGAGTGTACATTTTTGTTTTTCCCTTTTTGTCCTGTCCATTTCTTTTTTTCCCCCTCTTTTATGGCTTTTTTGATTGTATATTTCATTTTATCTGTTACTAAGTTCTTTCTTATAATTGTTGCTATGTTTAAATTTAGATTTACTCCTGTATTGTTCATTTATTGTGTTTTCTCTGTGTTCTAGTGCTGTCTTTTTGGTTATTTGAATAATGCTTTGCTACTTCATTTTGACCTTTGGTGTGATTTCGGCAATTATCTCTTTAAAGTTATTGTTTGCATGAATTTAAAGTGAGTTACAACATACTTTTTTTAAAAAAAAATAAAATCTTTAGAATCGATGTTTCACTACGTGGATTGGAATGTAGAACTTGTCCCATTACACCTCTCCTTTCGGGTGCTGTGGTTTCTTAGGAGTATATTACATCTGCACACATTGAAAACCTCCTAAGGCTATGCTGCTGTTTCTACTTTCATTCATAAAGGAACTAAAGAAGACAGTAGTAGAAACACTCATATATTTATCTTATGGATTCAATCAAAATTTTCTGTCTGAACAACTTCTTTAAGGCATTCCTTTTAGAACAGGCCCAGTAGACAGTATATGGATTATCTTCATTTACTATTTTTCAGGTGGCTCTATGCCAACAGTCAAGTCATTTTTCCTTTGTGTAAACACAGATCACTAGTCAAGTAAAGACTTGGGGTGTAACATTGTTTTTGACATTCGCGTTCTGCAGATTTCTTCAAGTTTTTGTGCTGTACAGTTATACTGTGTCTGATGTCGTGTAGAACGTTGTAGTTGGCTTCTTATGCTTGCCTCTCACCTCTGTTCTTCAACTTGGCAAACCCCTAGACCCTCTTTGTGGTCCTCTTCTGTGCCATGGCCAGACCAGGGATTATGGACGATAGCCTTTGGCAACTGCAGGAGCTTCTCTTGTTTCTCCTTTCTTTAGATGAAACTTCTGTGCTGTCACAGGATGTGTTCCTGGGTTGTTGGTGATTTTAGTATATGTAAATCATGTTTCACATTTTTTCCTGTATCTCATTGTTCACGATAGAACCATAAATGAAATATTTAAATTGTTCCGTCATGACCTAATGAAGAACTCAGTGTATTTTAGTCATTTTGCTTTTAGGGCATCATACAGAGTTGCTTCATATGTTGCATGTCCCTGTAGCTCAGCTGTGAATGAGTTGCTTGTGAACCTTTATCCAATTTTTTAATAAACTGAGAGTATGACAGAGAATGCTACCAAATTAAAAACAATATTCTTGCATATGCAAATTGTGGCATACAAATAACAAAATACTTTTTCTAAGATTTTTCTGTGTTTTGTTACTTTGAATATTTCTTGAGACAAGTAATTCATTAGAGTGTATATTTCTAAATGTACATAATGATAATATAATGAGAATGTGAGCCATAATTAATATTACTTTTCAAATTATTCTCTTAATTTTTTATGTGAAACTACTAAACCTCTTGTAGATTTTTTTTCTTTTTTAAGCATCACGTTTCTGAAAGATTTATTTGCTTTATTGGAAAGGTAGATTTATAGAGAGAAAGAGAGAGAAAGATCTGTGCACTGGTTCACTCCTCAAATGGCTACGATGGCTGGAGGTGAGCCAATCTGAAGCCAGGAGACTGGAGCTTTTTCCAAGTCTCACACATGGGCGCAGAGTCCCAAAACTTTGGGTCATCCTTGACTTCTTTCCCAGGCTACAAGCAGGGAACTGGATGGGAAGTGGAGCATCCAGGACATGAGCTAACACCCACATGGGATCCCTGTGCTTGCAGGGGGAGGATTAATCAATTGAGCCATCACGATGTACCCTCTAGATTTTTCTTGGTAAGGTTTATTTAATTGAAAGAGTTACAGAGAAAGGGATAGGGAAAGGCAAGAGAGAAAAAGACTTTTCACTTTTGGTTATTCCTCAAATGGCTGCAATAACTGGTTCTGCTCCAAACTGAGCTCAGGAGCCAGTAAATCCACCTTGGCCTCCAATATGGATGCCGGGCTTGCAGCCATTTTCCATTGCTTTCCTAGGTGTGTTAGCAGGAAGTTGGCTCAGAAATGAAGCTGCCAACTTGAACTGATATGGATCCCTCTCATTGCTTATGTAAACTCCAAAAGAAGGAATCACCAATAACTAATCCTGAAGCAACTTTGGAGTGGCATTTAATAATGTACATGTTGGTATTAAACCTGTGTCATTATTCTTATACTTCTAAAATTTAAAAAAATGCCGTGTAGTTTAGTGAAATATTGTATTTGTCAACAAAGCACTGCTAATGTAGGCAAATATATTTTTTAACTTAAACATTTTTTTTTGAGGCAATTGCAAATTCATTTACACTTAAAAAAATGGTGAGTGCATGTACCACTATACAATTTTCATCCTTGATGAAAATCTTGTAAATGTACAGTATGGTATCACAACCCTGGATACAGATGGCTGTGCTCTGATCCTCTTCAGATTTTGCTGATTTTATTTGTCTTCATTTATGCTGCTATATGCATATTTAGTTTTGTATAGTTTTATCATATACATTGTTTTATGTGTATGTGTTATCTTAGTCACCAAGTATAGTGGAAGCAAATGGTTAAAGAATATAAATTACTTCTCAGCTATTGCATGCTTCCAGCTGGCTTCAGTAGAAAAAAATCTCATTCTAATTATTTTAGAATTATTTATTTTCTATTAGGTGATGTGGGTATTCTCAGTGAGCTGTCTTGGATGGCAGTGTTTAGGAAACCAGCGAAAGGGAATATGAGGGTGTGGTCTGCATGCATATTTAAAGACTGTCGACGTATTTCTGTTTTTGTTGCTTTTATAAACCAAGTATTCTAAGGGCAGAGAAATTGCTGCTGTTAAAATCATGTCTTGCACATGATTGGTACTTCTATCTGTGAATTTGAGGTAGGAAATGAAAATATCTTCCAGATGGTAGCAAGCTGAATGGGATTTAGTACAGGGAATTCATTACAAAAGTATCCAAAGGACTAGAGATATCAAAGAGAGGGGATAGTTGATACATAGGGGAACTGTTGCATGTCCACACTGAAGCCTATGGTCACATCTGCCGTTGCAAGCTACTGGAGGTGCCACTTGTGTCACTGAACAGGAGCTATCCTGGCTCAGTGTTAGAAGCCACCATTCCATTTTCTTGCCCATTACTTCTACTCTTAGTCTATGACCAGTACTCTAGTTGGTGGAATCTAACATTGACATGCTTGCCAGGGACATTTTAAGTTTTCATCCTTAGCACTAAAAATGACTTTTAAGAGGGAGAAATGGGACTTGTAATGAAAAGACAAAGTTCTAGCTCAGTGGAGAATCTGTTCAGTTTATCTTAGATTTGTTGTGGTTGGAGGAATGTACCATTTTCATCTTGGTAATACCTCTTTTTCTTCTGCATAGGTAAGAATTTGGATTTTAAAGCTTTATTTTGTTTATGGAAGGTCAAATATTATTCAGTTTTAGCCCTACCATCTAACATGGTATCTGGCACAGATTTAATAGATAGTTTATTGACTAACTGAATGTTAGGTATGGTATATTCATAAAAATATACCTTTAAAATTAACCCTTAAAACTAACAAGTAGGTAATTTTGCTAATGTGCTAGTTATACTGTTAATGCTGCATGAGATTCAGGATTTATCTTCTTTCTGTTACAGCGTCAAACACTTGGCTTGTTCCAGATACTAAAGGAGCTATTGTCCAAGGTGGATATGGCCACACCAGTGTGTATGATGAGATCACAAAGTCCATATATGTTCATGGAGGCTATAAAGCATTGCCAGGCAATAAATATGGATTGGTGGATGATCTTTATAAATATGAAGTTAACACTAAGACTTGGTGAGTAGACTGAATAGGAATATGACAAGGAAAATGACATTGATTTTATTTTCTACTTGCATAATAATGATACTTATTAACTATTTTTCCTGGAGAAATTAGACCTTTGCAAACCCTATTTTGAGTAACAATGTACTGTCTTATAGCAGAGATGAGAAGAAATGATGTGTAGCTATCATAAGTATAAGTGTTTCCCTTTAAAAGGGCTTTGGGTCTCATAGAGCTATTTATTCTATATGCATTACTTGTAAGTGCTGATACCATATTTATTTCAGGTGAGCAATTTTATTTAGTAGAGTAAATTTTTAGTTTTGATATCTAGTTCAGAATCTGTTCTTTGTACTTATTTTATCATCAGTGGTGCATTAAATATATATATGTATGTATGTATTTTTTTTGGTTCAGTTTCAACACTTCACTTTAAAGTTTTACAGCTAGTGGCAGTTAGGTAGAATTTTCTGTGATAAGCAGTGTTACATTGCACACCTCTTAGTGGTCTTCTTATGCACATGTACCGTTCTTTCTGAAAGTCATACACTGAAAAGTGGACTTTTTGTATCTGATTATTAAAATAGGACTGTCACTTTTGCCAGTATGGATAGGAATGGAGGTAGCTTACTGATGTTACAATTTCTCTCATTACTGGTTAACATTTCAGATGTTAATATTTCTCCCACTACTGCTAACACTTTTTTGTTTAAGAAATTTCTTCCTGATATAGGTAGTATATTCTCTGTGCTTGAAATATTAGTTATTTCTTTGTGTTGTGATTCTCCGGATAAGTATGTATGTTTTAATACACTGTTTATGTTGCATTAATTTCCTTTTGCAAAGTCTGGGAAATTATCTCTTTTTATTTTATGACATTATTACATTTCTTTAAACTCATAGCATTTAGATATTTTATGAGTTTATATGAAATGCAATTTTTCATTAAAATGTAACTTGTTCTACCTCCTTCATTTTTCATATTTCTTATTTCTTTAAAAAAATTATAAAATTCTTCTTGTGATTTTTCCTTTTCTTATCTTTGGTCTAATAAAATGCAGTATTCTTTTTTTAAAAAAATTTATTTAGAAGGCACAATTACAGAGAGGTAGACAGAGAGAGTGAGGTAGAGAGAGAGATAGCTCTTCAGTCTATTGATTCTCTCCCCAAATGTCTGCAATGACTGGATGTGCGCCATTTCTAACCCGGGAGCCAAGATCTTCTTCCAGGTCTCCTGCATAGGAGTACTGGCACCATCTGCGGCTGCTCTCCCAGGATCACCAGCAGGGAGCTGCATTGGAAGAGGAATTGCTGACTCAAACCAGTGCCCCTGTGGAAAGCTGTCACTTCAGGCAGTAATTTTGCCTGTTATACCATTGTGTTCACCTCAGTATTATTCTTTATATTTAAAAGCACTAAAATATGTAAATAATTTTTCTATTAAATAACATACATTGAATTTTCTATGTATTATCTCTGCTTTTCTCCTTGTTTTTTTTTTTGCATGTTAGCAAGAGGCATTGCCATATATTTTAAGTATCGTATAATCTGAAAGAATGAAAATTTTAGAATTTTGAAGCATGTTGGACTATTGAATTAGGAATGCTCAAATGATATAGTCTATACCAGATGCCCAGATCTCTGAAATCTGAAACATTTCTTGCCCCAAGCATTGTATATAAGGCACAGCAAACCTGTATAGAGATTAAACCTCTATCAAACAGCTTTTATCATAGTTTTGCACGTATTATATTGCCTAATACCAAAAAAAGCAAATATAATACCTGTGTAAAGGAGGCAGCATAATTCACAGTTCAGTAGGAGTAGCAATGCTCATTGAAGGAGCGTGTTGAATACAAGTAAATGTATGAGAGAATAACTGGGTGTAATGTAGATAAAGTCAAAATTATATATTCAAATTTTTGTTCACTAATTAAATAAAATTTTCTCTAATTTCATGTTTTTCTACCTGAATCATTTTCATGGTGTACTTTTTCATAGAAAACTATAATTATCTAACCTGATAATTTTTTATGTGTACAGATAGTATTAGATACTTGCCCTATTAGAGAATTTGATAAAACAGTAGTATGATTAAGACCTTATTAGAAATAAGTTCCTAGTATGATTGCTGCCTTAATATTTTAACAGATATTTCTCAAAAACATTAATTAATTAATAAACAAAATTGATTTTCTGTTAACCTTAAAGTTTATTGAATTCATGAGATTTTATTGTCTTTTGCTTTCTGATTTTCGGCCATTGTTATTATAGATTGTACTATATGTAAAATTTGTAATATTTTATGTAGTTTTAAGATATCACTATTATTTGTCCGTTATGTGGAGTAATCTTTATTTTTGCAACCCATAACTGATTCCATGTTTTTGTACAGATGATTAAATACCTGTGCTAGTTTTTTGAGTTTTTTGAGATTTTAGGTGATGCAAGTTTGGAGGAGTTCTTTGTTGGAGCAAAATGTGTATGTATATACATTGTATTGATTCAGTAGGAAAAATGTGGAATTATATGAGCTTGTAGCATCAGTGAAAGGCACCGAAACCATCAATTTAAGAAAGGAAGGATTTTTGTCAAGAAAGGTGGATATGGCCTATCTTGGCCCTTCTGTGCTTGAGGTAGTTATGAATCCTAAGTACTATATAAGAACATGAACATTGCTGTAGCAACAGCTCTGGAAGACCGGTATTTATTCCCAGGTGTGCCAAGGGAGATGAGGCTTGGTAGGCTCCTAGGACTTAGTGTATTCCTTCAAGTTCTGAATGGTCATAGGATAAATACACTTGTGAATGCTGATATTCTTTCATTGGTTTATTGAGGAAGTTAGTATCATCCTGAGCCCCATTGTTTCTTTAATATCTCATAAGCAATATCTTGCATATGCTAGAAAAGTAATGGCTTAAAAAAAGAAGATAGGAAAAACAACAGTACAATGGAATGATCAGATACTGACTTAAAAGTTTGTTATATGTTTAAAGAATCCAAATTTAATATAGAGAATATTAGGAGAGAACTTGAAACTTTATAGTAAAGAATCAGGTGGAGGAGGGTAAGCATCATGGCATGGAACATTAGGCTGCTGCTTCCCTATTGAGGCGCCATTTCCAGTCCTGCATGCTCTCCTGACCCAGCAGAAACATAGCCCAAGCACGCGGGCTTGTGCCACTTTTGGAGTGAAGCCAGGAGCCTCATCCAGGTCTCCCTTGTGGGTGGCAGCAGCTGCCTTGTTTGGGTCTGCTTTCCCTGACACAGTAGCAGGGAGCTGGATCAGAAGGGGCAAGCTGGAACTCTATCTGAACTGGAGCTTATGTGGGCAGCCAACAGTGCAGGGGGCAGCCTAACCTGCACAGTTCTGGCCCAGGTTAGTACAAGCTTGATAGAAGAATATGGAAAAAAAATTATAGCTTAGAAAAATTATAGTATTGCTTTTTCATAAACATAGATTTAAAAAATTAGGTGACTCCAGCAATTATTGGGAGAAGTAAAAATTCATTTTGGTTCCTATTAACTATAAATTTAGTTAAAATATGTAAACTATGAGTAATTAAAAAATAAGAACAGAAATAAAACAAATAAAGCTCTGTAATTTCAAAAAGATAGACATTTTGGATAAAATTAATAAATATTTATGGTTAAAATTTTTGAAAAGCTGTTAATATAAGCAAATCATTCAAGTGGTAAAAGGTACAGGACACCTCAAGGCTTTTCTTCAGATGTTATAGTGAAAAGCTGAGAGCTTTTCCTTTAAAATCAGAATGAACTAAAGGTGCTCACAATCAGGACTTCTATTGAACAATGTATTGGTCTTTCTCATTTTTTCTTCCTAAGATCTCTTTATGTTTGTTGGAATGGTAGATTGACAGAGAGGAGTGATCGAGAAAGATCTTCCATCCACTGGTTCACTCCCCAAATGGCTGCAACTGCCAAAGCTGAGCTGATCTGAAGTCAGTAGCCAGGGGCCTGCTCGAGGTCTCTCATGTGGGTGCAGGGCCCCAAGCACTTGAGCCATTCTCTGTTGTTTTTCTATACTTAAGCAGGGAGCTGGACGGTAAGTAGAGCAGCTGGGACCTGAGCTGGTGGCCATATGGGATGCTGGCGCTTGAAGGTGGAGGATTAGCTGGTTGAGCCATTTTGCTGACCCCCCAGTATTGGTGTTTCTTACCAGTGAATAAAATAAAGTAAAATATGCAATATTATATATTTTGATTTTGTGTAATGTATGATAAATCTATTTAAAGTTAATTTAAAATATAATTCTAAATCTGTCAGGAGCAATTAAAAATGACAATTTAAAAGCAGCAGTTTTTATTTTATCACTAGAGCATCAGAAATTTAAAAATTAAATCTGATAACGTATTTGTAGGGTCTTTATACAGAAGATATAAAACCTTACTGTGAAAAGTTAGGAGACCAAAAAAATGGGGGCCACACTTGATAATTGTTTGAAGAACTCATTGTTGTAGATTTAGATTTTCTTTCCAAAGGGATTTACAGACTTAATGTAATGCCAAACTAGATCGCAGCAGATATTTTTCTTCTGGAATTATAACATGCTTATTCTAAAACATTTAGGAAAATACAAATAGTTATCATAGGTATCTTTTGTGGGAATTCTGTTTCCAGAATGAATGTTGCTGGTTGGTATTCTGCATGCAAATATCTTTTTTAGAAAATCTTGCAGAAAAAAAAAGATTTCTAAAAAGACTTATTTGAAGGGTATAGCTACAGAGAGAGATTGTGAGAGCTCTCTGTCCATTGGTTCATTCCCCAATGAATGCAGCTGCTGAGGCTGGAGCTGGCGGGAGGCCTCCCATGTGGATACAGTGGCCCAAGCGTTGAGCTGACTTCCACTGCTTTCCCAAGGGCAGTAGGTGGGAGTTGGATTGAAAGCGGAGCAGCCAGGACTTGAGCCAGTTCCCAAAGGGATGCTAGTGCCACAGGTGTAGGCTTAACTCACTATGTCACAATGCTAAATCTGGTGAGATTTGTGAGAA